CAAGTGTTTCTCTTGCCAACACTTGCTATTTCTTGTCTTTTTGATTTTAGTCATTTTAACAGGTGTAAAGTGATTGGAAGACTTTTTCTATGTTCGTTGAACTTTTGGGTTGCTATCTCCCTCAGTCCTCTTGAGTTTTGAGGGGTTTTTTTTGTTTTGCTTTTTAATAACACTTTTCTTTTCTTTCTTTATTTGAGAGAGCGAGAATGAAAGACAGAGAGAGAGCACATGAGAGGGGGGAGGGTCAGAGGGAGAAGCAGACTCCCTGCTGAGCAGGAAGCCTGATGCGGGACTCAATCCCGGGACTCCAGGATCATGACCTGAGCCGAAGGCAGTCGCTCAACTAACTGAGCCACCCAGGTGCCCTGAATTTTGAGTTTTTAACAGCAGTTTAAGGAGACTGTCTTGATGCTTCAGTTTCAAAATTTGTTCTCATTTAATTGCCATTTTCCTGCGTTGTAGTTAGCATTCTGTGTCGTCACAGAAAATAGATTTGACCCCTTCATTTCATTGGTAGTTCTTGGTGCTTCATACTCAATTAGCGCAGCTCAACTTGCATTCCTCTCCAAAGCTGAAAGGGACAGCTTGACAGTTCTTAAAAGGCTTGTAAACATTTAGACTAGAGCACAGAGGAAGCCATGGGCCTTGGTGGAGGTTTTGCGTATTTTCATTCCCAGAACAGTTTGTGCCGCAGACCCAAAGGGAAAACAAGTAGTTGAGACAATTATAAATGATGTTGGTGCCGGTAAGCAGCACTCTTGACAAAGTGGGAGAAGTGTCCCAAGTACCTGCATGTCTTCTCTGACCTTCTCAGCTGCAAAATGCAGAATTCTGCACTTTGCATAAATCTGCTGGGTGGCTCTGTCTTCAAACATTGTTTGAAGATGTATTTTTCATAGGGTGTTTTGGCTTTGCAACAAAAGACATGAAAATTCTGTTGATCTCAAGTGGAGTTTGAAGTTCAAAAGCTTTGTTATCTTAAATAGATTATGTTGATATTTGTAAGTTGTTCCGAAATGCTTATTGTCGTCAGCAGTTTCCTACCTTATTTTTTTTTAAAGATTTTATTTATTTATTTGACAGAGAGACACAGTGAGAGAGGGAACACAAGCAGGGGGAGTGGGAGAGGGAGAAGCAGGCTTCCTGCCAAGCAGGGAGCCCGATGCAGGGCTCGATCCCAGAACCTACCTTATTATAAGTCTCAAACATTCTTTTCCAAGACAGTGGTTCACAAACTGGGTCCTTACCTCAGGACCCCTTTATACTCTTAAAAATTAATGAAGTGGGGCGCCTGGGTGGCTCAGTTGGTTAAGCATCTGCCTTCTGCTCGGGTTATGATCCCAGAGTCCTGGGATCGAGTCCCACATCAGGCCCCTTGCTCAGCGGAGAGCCTGTTTCTCCCTCTGCCTGCCGCTCCCTCTGCTGTGCTCGCTCTCTCTCTCATTCTCTCTCTCTCTCTGACAAATAAATAAAATCTTTTTAAAAAATTAATGAAGCCCCTAGAGAACTTTTGTTTATGTAGGTTACATCTACTTTATTAGGGATTGCAACTGAGACACTTATTAATTCATTTAAAAATAGCAACAATAAACCTATTTGATGTTAAAGGGAATATTTTGATGAAAAGTCACTATATGTGTGTAAGAATGACACTCTTACATTTTTATAGATCTCTCAATGTCCGCCTTCATGGAAGATAGCTGGATTCTCATATTCGTTTCTGTATTCATTCTGTTGTGACATCACAAGTCGGTCTCTGGAAAACTCCACAGAACCCTTGTGAGATACTTCTAGCGAAAAAGACAAAAACATTTTACCATTGTTATGGAAATAGTTTTGATCCCCGGAGTTCTTGGAAACCCCCAAACCACACTTTGAGAACGACTATCCTAAAATAGCAAGATTTTCAGGTGGTGAATGAAGTTTTCATTTGTCCTAAGCCTTTGTCCCTTGGAAGCGGGACCATGCTTGTTGCTCTTCCTTCCTGTGCCCTCATTCTTCCTTCCATCAGGGCTCACTTTCTTTCCACCTGAATGAAGAACATTGAGTTTTTTTTTAAACTGTGCATCTACTGGTGATCATTCTCTCAGTCTTTGGTTATCCAAAATGTCTTTTTTTGCCTTCCTTATTGAAGGCTATTCTCTGCATGCAGAGAATTCTAGATTGACAATTAAGATTTTTTCCTCATCTTTGGTTTTCTGTGGTTTTATTATTTTTTTTAAGATTTTATTTATTTATTCGACAGAGAGTGAGAGAGTACAAGCAGGGAGGAGTAGTAAAGGGAGAGAGAGAGAAGCGGGCTTCCCGCTGAGCAGGGAGCCTGACGCGGGCCTCGATCCCAGGACCCTGGGATCACGACCTGAGCCGAAGGCGGACACTTAACGACTGAGCCGCCCAGGCGCCCCTTCTGTGGTTTTATTATGATGTTTCAAGGTGTTGGTCTGTTTTCATTTATCTGCCTGCTGGGTTTCTGGAAGGCTTTTTGAATCTTTGGTGTATTTTTTGTCCCCATCACTTTTGAAAAATTCTCAGCCAGCCATTCTCTCTCCTAATATTTCTGCCCATCTCACTCTTCTTTCCTTCTGGGCCTCCAATTACACATATGAGGGACTTTTCTGTTGTACCCTAGCTCTCTAATCTAATCTCCTGCTAAGCCTACCCAATTTCTATCTGGTTCTTTTTCAGATCGGCTAAGTGGTTTTTTTGTTTCTTTTTTTACGATTTCCAGTTTTCCGCTGAAATTTTCAGTCTTGTTTATTTCCTTGCACATAGTAAGCCGAGTTGTTTTGAAAGCCTGTGTCTGTTAAGCCCAGTGACTGTTGACTAAACCTACTATGCACAGAAATCGCTGCATAAAAATGTGCAGAGCAAAAAAGTTAATACAAAGAGAAAGAGCAAGAAAACCGCGAAGGGGAGACGACTTCTCTCTCAGCCTTTAATTCAGGAAGTAAAGACGGCCCCTTTTTCAGGTTGACCGGGGCGACCGCTGGGGGCGCTGTGGCGCGCAGGCACGGTCCGGGAGGCGCTCTGGCCTCGGAGCGCTGCCGCTCCTTCCGCCTTCCCGGCGGACCCCGCGCGGCGCTTGCGCGTTCGGTGACCTTTCCAAGTCGTTGGCAGTGGGTGTTGCGGCGGCCCGAGCCGGGGTCCTTGCGCCGAGGTGAGTGCGGGGGGCGCGGCCGGCTGTTTCGAGCGGGGCCGCTAGGCCCGCGGGGCGCAGGGCGACGAGCGAGAGAGCCGCCTGGCCCCCGCTGACCTTGGGGTCCTGCCGCGGTCCCCGGCCGGTGAAAGGAGGCGCTCCGCGGACTGGCGGGTCGCGGGAAGTCCCTCCCCGTCCTTTGGCCAGGGCCGCCGCACTGCTCCGGTGATGGGCAGCGCGCCCCGGCCGTGCCGGGGTCGGCCACCTGCCCGAGGGCGCGCCACGCTTGGAGATGGAGCCCCGACCCCGGCCTGGAGCGCCTGCCCTGCGTTCAGTACCTGCTGTCCTTGGTACCTCGGGTTTCCTTGCAACGCGGTGCCCTGCAGGTGACCCCGGCACAGCAGAAGGCCTTAGGGAGGGGACACGGGGCCCACGACGGGGTCAGAGGCGACGGTTGCAACTGTGTGGCACTCAGCTCTGGAATCGCAGTCCGGGCTTCAGCGGGTCAGACGTACCCTGTCTCCCGTGTAAGGCCAGCTAGTAGTTTGCTGTTAACGTGCCCAAAACTTCGCAGACACAGTGGACGCCCATTTGACCAAAGGATGGGCCTTTGGAGGAAGGAGTGCTCTAAAACCCCCACACAGGGGCGCCTGGGGGGCTCAGTCGTTAAGCGTCTGCCTTCGGCTCAGGTCATGATCCCAGGGTCCTGGGATGGATCCCCTCATCGGCCTCCCTGCTCCAAAGGAGGCCTGCTTCTCCCTCTGCCTCTGCCTGCCGCTCCCCCTGCTTGTGCTCTCTCTGTCAAATAAATGATCACAGGGGTCCTGGGATCAAGCCCCGCACCGGGCTCCCTGCTCCAAAGGAGGCCTGCTTCTCCCTCTCCCACTCCCCCTGCTTCTGTTCCCTCTCTCGCTGTCCCTCTCTCTCTGTGTCAAATAAATAAATAAAGTCTTTAAAAAAATAAAACCCCCACACAGAGCTGGTAATGTGGACGGACAGTGGACTCAGATGGGATAGGGCCTCACTTTATTAAAAGGTCACTTGTCCAGAAAAATATGACAACCTTGGCCGAAAGGAAAGTGGGGCGGGGATAGGTAAGTGTTTGTAGTGTAGGAGGGAGCAGTCCAAGATAATTCTAGGTGAAAAGACGATGCTGGGGGCCCTGGGTCCTGAGCAGAAAATGGGGTAGCTGGCGTTTTTGCAGCACCTTCTTCCCTCCTTTGCACTCTCAGTGTGCTCTGCTGTTTTCCCTCCAGATCCTCATCTGGCCTACGTGAGGGCCTCTTCTTATGTTCTCCCTCTTAGAATCCCAGGAGCTTGGTACCATTGCCCTCAGCTGGGTGTTTGTAGCACTTCCTTCTGCTCTTGCTGTGACCCATGACCAGTTGGGCCATTCACGTTTCCTCCTTGCATGGCAGCAAGATCCCTGTGAGGCAGGTGGACATATCCCTGTGTCACAGAGGGGCAACCTTCTGAAAGGACAACTCCAGGAACTTGGCCAAGGTTGGGATTGGAACCCAGGATTCTGGCGCCACTGGGAGCTGGGAACACCTTCTTGCCCAGTCACTGCCAGGCTCAGGGAGGAGGGGAATGCACTCGGTCCCTCTGAACTCTTCTTCCCACCTGGGGGTTTTAGAGGCCTCCTGCAGGTCCTGTTTGGGTCTTCTCAGCCACCTTCTAAGGGCAGGGTTGTTGGTTTCTGGGATCCTCATGCTGTGACAGAGCATCCCAGTCTGAGGACAGGAAGTGTGAGGGTAGACGTCTCTGCAGGGGGTTCGGGGAGGAGGACACAACCACATTGTTCAAGGTCACACTTGGGGCAGGGGGTGGGGCTGGCTAGCCTTTAGGACAGTGCCTCAGCCTGAGTAAGTTCTCAGAAGAGCTGATTCTCCCTAGTAATGAGGATTGGGGGGCAGGGTGATTCATAGATCCAGCTGTGTGACCCCCGGCAACTCTCCCACAAGTAGCCACTTTGTAGGGGTTAGGCGGTCGTGCAGGAGATAAGTATGTAAGCACGTTGTGAATGCTGTTAGGGTTGCCTGACATTCTTAGAGTAAAAGCTGAATTCTTCACCATGGCCTCCAAGGCCCTAAATGACCAAGCTCCTCCCTCCCACAGTCTTAACAGCACTCAGCGTGGGACACCACACACTGTAAATTCTTGATGCGGAGTAACTCTTCTTCATAAGCTCCCTTTGTGGGTGGGTGGTGTTTCCATCCCTGTTTTCCAGAGGAAGAAATTGCGGCACTTGAAGTTAGCGGGATTTGAATCTGGGCAGCCACTGTGGCTCCCCTTCCCTCCCAGACTCTGCAAGTCCGTCCTGACCTGGGGTCTTGGCACATACACTGCCTCCGCCAAGGACACTCTTGTCGCAGGTATTCTGCCTCCTTAGGAGCTGGTTCCTCAGCCCCTAAACAATGCCTGCCACCTAGTACGTGCTCGCTTCCCATCTGCTGAGTAAATAATGATCACGCAGGAGAAAAGTGAAGAGAAGTAAAATTCCATGTAGCCCAAATAGTGATGCAAAGAAGCGGTAGCTGAGGCTCTGGTCAGGGTGGGGGTGAGCGACATCACTAACTGAAGCCAAAGTAGTGTTTTCAAGGAAAATGCAAAGTACTTGGATCTGGTTATTCCTGACAATGATTTGAATGACTGTAGTTTAATAGACCACTTGAGATGTTACAAAGCTAAAATGAAAATAAGGGCATCCAATTTTAGAGTCTAGTAAATTGTAATCAAAAGCCTTACTTTGAGACCTGCTCATAGAAGCAAACTTTGTCAGTTCAGCATTTGATGACTTTTCCCAATCAAAATCCAGTAGTGAGGTAAATGTTTTTATTCGTTAAATAAGTGATGTCGTGATTGCAGCTCTCAGGAAGTGACTTCGTCATCCTACACCGCGTTTAGCAGCAGATTTCTAGGCTGAGTGTGGGTCTCACAAGGACTTCTTTTTCAGCTCTGAATGCCAGCAGTTCTTCACATGGTGATGCAAACATAGTAGTTTTATTTAAAAGTTTGAAAAACGTGGTGTGTAATTTTGGGCATAGCATCAGTGGAGAACAGCTGTGAGGAGGAAGAACGTTCGGGACAGTGCAAGATGGCACGGGCTGGGCACTCTGGGGCTCGAGGGGTGAGGGGTGGTGGAGCACCAGGATGGCCGGGGTTGGCAGCCTTGGAGGTGAGTGGGGCTTGAAGAGCTGCCGAGCGGGGTCCCCATTACGGGTAGGAATGGCTGCTGGAGAGTGGCACATGAAACGGTCAAATTTAAGAATATATATTGGAACCTCTTACCAGTTAGCTTTAAAACAGTCACGGTGGGGCGCCTGGGTGGCTCAGTCGGTTAAGCGTCTGCCTTCGGCCTGGATTGGGATCGAGCCCCGCATCGGGCTCCCTGCTCGGCAGGGAGTCTCCTTCTTGCTCTGCCCATCCTCCGCTGCTCATGCTCGCTCTCTCAAATAAATAAAATCTTAAAAAAAAAAAAATGGTGATGGTAGTATTTATCACTGTGTTCCTTTTCAGATGCTTCAAAGCCTTATTAAAAATGTTTGGATCCCCATGAAGCCCTACTATACCCAGGTTTACCAGGAGATTTGGTTAGGAATGGGGTTGATGAGTGTCATCATTTATAAAATCAGGAGTGCTGGTAAGTTTCTTTATGTCGATTCATCGGCAGTCAGGATGAACATTATTTTCAAAAGGAATCATGATTCCTGTTGTGAAAGAACAACAGTTCTTACCCAGAAGTGAGCATCAGAACCCTTTGTTAAAATGTGGGGAGTACATGTCAGCTGTAAGAGACATTTGGGGAAAACTGGGAAAATGTGAGCAAGGCCTTGATAATGGGGGATTCTGAGTTCCCTAGGTGTAACAGTGGTGTTTGGAATGCACAGGAGATGTCCTTCGTTGGAAGAGACTGCGGAAATCGTTAGGGGTGGATTGTCCTGGCGTGTGGTGTGTTGCTCTACCTTTCCCACCACTGTGAACATTTGAACTGTTCTTATAATAGAAGTGGGGGCAGGGTGACCTTTGGAGCAGAGATGACTCAGTGGAACAGAGATGAGGCCCAATCATGTATTAATAAGCAATTAGTTTAGAAGAGGAGAGAAGGGAGAAACTCTAAACTCCAAGACTGGAGTCTGGGGAATGGTCGGGAGTGGAGAGTCCTGCAGATTCCGAAGGGCTCCTCACTGCTCTGACCCATCTTTGGTGGCAGCAGTACCACCTCTTGGCTGGGAGGCACCATCGAAACTCCTGTTTCCTGAAACTTCACGTAACCGCTTTACCTCAGCTGTGAACTTTTCAGCCAAATGTTGATTTTAGCAGTGGTCAATTGACCAAGAACATTTTTGTAAAGCGTTGATATAACCAGTGTTTCTTTCTTTTTATTTCAGATAAAAGAAGTAAAGCTTTGAAAGGTAAGAATTTTGCTTCTTCAAAGGGATGGGGAACGCAAAACACCGTCGAACCTTTTCAGGACAAGGTGTGTCACTGCTCACAAAACGTATACAGTGCAGGGGGGGCTAGAGAACGTGAAGTGTGCTGTCCCTACCGGAAAAGAGAATTCGGAAGTTCTTCTTACAGTCTGAGCGTTAAAAACCATTGCTCACCGCCTTGGGCCAAGTAAAACTGCCAGGGGTACTAGGAAATGGGTCGCTGCTGCCCCCAGGAGGGCAGCACCAGGCTAGCTGTGCAGGAAGCCGCCCTGTGGAATGTGTCTGGAAAGAAAGCACCACATGAATGTATGTCCTGGTGCTGGACATGTCTTCACTCTTTTCCCCAAATGACAGTGAAACTGTAGTCATTTGAGTCCTCCTAAAGCCCCAGGGCTGGCTGGTGACCCCTGAGGAGAAGACACTCCCCTGCGCTCCAGCCTTGTGCTGGCAGGCGAGCTCCCGGCTGCGCAAGGGGAGTACACGCAACCCTTACACCTGCTGGGCGCTCCTCGTAGAAATGACCCTCCACATGTCTTCGTAGTATTGAAAATTGTCGTTGACAGTTTCTGACTTGTTAATACTCATGTAATAAACTGTCTTCCATGGTTTCCTTTCTTCTTCAATGATGTCTGTATTATGTGTCTCTTTCTACAGCTTCCAGTCCTGCGCCTGCTCATGGCCATCATTGACCGGCTGTACTTGGAGCACACGTCCGATGGGAGCATCAGTCTGTTTGTAAATCTCAGCACGCTGTTAGATGGGAACGTGGAGCGCCGCCGTACACTTGTAGATGTGTCCCCTGTGGCGTGAATAAATGTACCTGAGGTGCACCACTGCCCACACCTGTGTCCCTCTGTCAGCTCCCCCGTGCGCCACACAGCAGACAGTCAGAATCTGAGCGAGCCATCCCATCCCGATGACCGTAGGACTTGGGGCTTCGATGTGGCCCTCACTTCTGATGTCTGATAAATATCCGCTACACAGATGATTCTGCCACTTACTCTTGTGACCTCGCTGAGCCTTGTGTTTTCTCGTGTGGACAGCGGGACTGCGTGTCAGTTCTCACCTAGAGTTATTGTGAAGATCAGTAGGGAAGGTGTGGAAAAGCATTAGTTGAACCGTAAAACACTGCAGAAATAAGGGGTGAGATTATGTGGTGGGTGAAATTTATAAGCTCTAGGAGATTCTCTCAGGAAGTCACTGATAAGGCAGAGTACATAATGTAAAAAACTGATATTTCTCCTAGTTTGGGTAAACTAAATACTGCATGATATTTGCCTCCATCTAAGGCAATTAACCCCTAGAATTGCACTTTTTTTTTTTTAAGATTTATTTTTATTTTGGGGGGGTGAGGGAGAGAATCTCAAGTCGACTCCCACTGAGCTGGATCCCGAGGCAGGGCTTAATCCCATGACCATGAGATCATGACCTGAACCGAAATCAAGAGTTAGTCACTTAGCCCACTGAGGCACCCAGGTGCCCCTAGAACTGCACTTGTAAGGAAGATACAAAAGCAGTAGGGGTCAAAGTGAGTCTGATCTGAAGTCTGGTGCTTTGCAGGTTAGCAGCGGTCTGGCTGTGGAATAGAAACGGGCCCCAGTCCCGGTCTCTAGCTGTCTTTCCCTAAGTGCAGAGACCGTCCTGTTTTCAGCGTGTGATGTCAGGTCTGGCCGTGGTCTGTGCCTGACAAATGCCTGTTACCTCTTGGCAGGGCCTCTGAGCCAGATTTCTTGTTTTGTATAAATGGGGATAAAGCCTGCCTTCAGCCTCACTGCCCAGCTCGCAACTGTGGCTCGATGCAGAGTTGCCGTGAAAGTGTTACCCCCAGGGCCTCGGTGCTAGAGCGGGGGGCAGGGCGGGGGGTGCAGGGAGACTGAACAAGGATTAGTGGGCCCCAGAGTTTCTGATTCCGTTGGTCTGGGAAGGAGCCTGAGAACTTGTATTTCTCATACTTTGCCAGGACAAGCTGATGGCTGGGGACCTCATTTTAAAAGCACATCCAAAGAACATGACCCACCAGGGCCCTTAGGTCCACCCTGTCAAGTTCACCCCTGCTCCCATGGTGCCCCCAGATGCCAGCCCTGCGCATCTTTGCTCATGCAGCCCTAAGAGCTGAACTAGGTGGAGCTGTAGCCCCATTTTACAGGGAAGGAGACAGGCTTAGAGGCAGTGACGAGCCAAAGTCACCTCTCCAGGGGTGGGGTGGGGACTCCAGGAAGCTGCACTTGTCCGGGGAGGGAGGAGAAGAGTACCCAGGGAACCGGCCCCTGAAGCCGGCTCCGGGGGCGCAGCTCACTTTCCCACCTGCAGGTTCCTTTAGTTGGCATCTGGGTACATAAGTGCTTTGCAAAAGATGCTTGATCGGCCATGGTGAACCAGTTGCCACACACCACTGCTTGTGCAACGGGAGGGGGTGAGGGACCGTGGGATTTCTTTCATGAACGGACTCCATTTATTTTGTGAAGAGACTGAGCAGATCCTCTGAAAGGTAGACGGGTCTGGGCGGGTTGCCTGCTGCAGGGGGCAGTTTGTGGTGAGTGATACACGAAGGCAGACAGGAGGGTGTCGACGATAAACATCCCACCCCCACCCCCACCCCCAAAACTTGCCAAGAACCAGCCATGCCTTTAAAAGTGAAGCAAAACGATCTCGCTGCTAGGCCAAGTGGTTTCCTGGCCCTAAAACCCGCAGTGGAGGCGGTGTGTTTTGTAGCGTGAAGAAGCAGGCGTGCGTTGCCGGCCGGGAAGGCGCTCACTGGTTGGACCGGGCAGGAGCGCGCCCGCCTTCCTCCCAGCTTCCGGGCGGCAGGTGTCCGGAGGCGGCCGGTGGGTGGAGCCAGAGCCCGCCTGGGGCCCGCGGACACGCCCCCAGCGCCGGGGAGCCCGGAGAGCGCGCGGGGGAGCCGGCGGAGGGCAGGCCCCCCCCCACCTCACCCATGGGAGGGAGCCGCCGATTTCCAGAAGAAACAACAAGGAGGCCTTTTTGTCCCAAAACCCACACACCCATCCCCTCCTGGCTTGGCGCACTGCTTTCCAGGGTGTAACCTTAAAGGCAGAGGGAAGAGAAGGCAGGTCTGCGCATCGGCCAGTGTAACTTGAAACACTGCGCTGTAACTCCGTCTCGGGGGAGGCACGTGTTTCGCCGTGCTTGTCGCTGTGCATCCCAGGGGTCCCTGAGCCCCAGTGGAGCACCCCGGAGGATGTAGCCTCTGCCGTCCTCGGGGGGGGGGGGGGGGTTGCATCTCTAGAGCCAGGCGCTCCTAAGTACCGCGTGCCCGGCCCCAGCCCGTCTGCTCTGCACTTCGTCAACCCGCACAGCGCCCTGCGAGCTCATACTGTCACCCTGTTTCACAGACGAAGCCCTGTTGGTCTGGACAGGACAATTAGCCTGCGTTAGAGGAAAACTAGCTGGTTACCGACCAAGCTAATTAACTGGTAGAGCCAGGGCTCCCAATCAGACCATCTGCTTCAGAATGGGGATTGTAGAGATGATGAGCCCACAGTCCCTTTCCTCCCGGCCTTGAGCATCTAGAGAACAGACGAGTAAACAGACGCGCACAAGGCCGGGCAGCCCGCGCAGCAGTGGGCGTCTGTGTGCCCGAGGCCGGCCGGCGGGCATGCACGCATCAGCAGCCCGCTCTGGCTTAAATCCTTATTCACACAGACCTCCCCGAAAGGCATTCCCGGTACATTTAGGGAAATTCGAACATGGGCTGGATGCTAAGTGATATGAAAGAACCGATGTTACCGGGGTACTTTGTTAATCACAATGTTGGCGTTGTGGTTGTTGCAAAAAAGGTGTTTGGTGCAGACAAGCAGATGCAGGCAGAAATTTGTAGGGGGGCGTGATATCTAGGATTTACCTTCAAATACATGAGCCAACATTAACCAATCCGAATAGACTGGGGAGCGAGGGTACAGCTGAACGGGGATTGCCAATGATGTGTTGAAGTTTGCTGCTGGATGCATGGCGCGTGGCGGGAGGGGGGGTCATTACACGAGTCTGTCTGTCTGTATACATGTTTGAACTTCTCCCAATAAATACTGTTTCAAAAACACTCAGCAGAAAACAAAAGCCGTGCAATCAAAGCTTTCAAAGCTTTGTTGGTGGTATGGTACCTATTTGAGGAGCCGCCACTGTGCAACCCCGGGAAATGGAGGGAACACTCTGCAAACGTCTAGTTGATCATGCCGAGCAACAGCAACCTCATTACCACACCACAAAAAGCTCCCCTCCAGTGCTGTTACTAAATGGGCCAGTGTCAACGTTTACATTTGTTTGCCTCCAGGTCTGGGGTAACAAATGCCAAAGTCCAGAAGGAAAAAAAAGAAATGTCATGAGGTGTCTGGGTGGCTTAGTCGGTTAAGCATCTGCCTTCAGCTCAGGTCACGATCTTGGGGTCCTGGGATTGAGTCCTGTATCGCTTCTCCCTTTCCCTCTGCCCCCCCCAACTTGTGGCAATTGTATTGAATTGGAAAAGTACTTGACAAGATGCGTTCAAGTTACAGCAACAGCTAAAGAACAGTCTCGTAAGTACAGTTCCTTCATTCGGCTCACATTTTAGTGATTTCTTCCTACCTGCCACGCCCCTGCTTCCTGATCCTGCCCACTGAAAGCAAACCTGTATTTGCAGCTGTTTGTATTAAAAGCAGATTTCTGGAAATGCCTTACCAGTGTACAGTTTACGGCCCCCATAGCCAAGATCGTCCTCACAAGCTGGATTCAGATTCCAACTGGTGCTACCATTTATCGTGTGTGTGTGTGTGTGTGTGTGTGTGTGTGTGTGGCCTCAAGTAAACTCCCTATCGTCTCTGGGTCTTGGCTCCTTCCCTGTCTCTAAAGTGAAGTAATCGAATTAAATGGCCTCCAGAGTATCTCTCAGCTCCATAATGCCATCGCCAATGGGTCTGTAATGAACCTAAATCCCATGATCCAATAACAAAAACAAAACAAACAAAAAGCTGAGCTGTGAAGCAAGTGTAGGAGGACGGATCACAAACTGTAGGTTTATGTGAAGGACACTACTTCGCCTCTTTACACCTGGCACCCAACACAGGACCAGGCGTTTGTAGTAGGCGCTCAGATGTTTTAGTAAATTTTAATTGAATAGGGATGCCAGTTACAGAGAGTTTCCTAGGGGCACCTGGGTGGCTCAGTAGGTTAAGCATCTGACTCTTGCTTTCAGCTCAGGTCATGATCTCAGTGTTGTGAAATCAAGCCCTACATCGGGCTCCCTGCTGGGCATGGAGTCTGTTTAGGATTCTCTCTCCCCCTCGGCCCCTCCCCTCCGCGTGCTCACTCTCTCTCTCTCTCTCAAGCAAATAAATCTTTTTTAAAAAGAAAGAGTTTCTGGGGCGCTTGGGTGGCTCAGTCATTAAGCGTCTGCCTTCGGCTCAGGTCATGGTCCCAGGGTCCTGGGATCGAGCCCCGCATCGGGCTCCCTGCTCCGCGGGAAGCCTGCTTCTCCCTCTCCCACTCCCCCTGCTTGTGTTCCTTCTCTCTCTGTGTCTTTCTGTGAAATAAAATAAATAAAATATTAAAAAAAAAAAAAGAGTTTCCTACATCTTGGTAAAACAGAGTAAGAGACATCTCTGGTGACCATATGAGCAGTTAGGCAGGAAGAATGACGAGAAAGTGGGGAATGGGGCCCTACATCAGGATCTCCCAGGGCGAGCCCGGGGACCTTATTCCCACCCTGAGGGATAAACAAGTTGAACCCAAAGTGACCCAAATGCATGTGACCTTGAGGCCCATTGTTCCTGGAACCACACTTTGGGGCTGTTGGTTTACACATCACCAGGTATTGTTCCTAAATCTCCTCTCCCCACCGCGCAAAGCCCCG